CAATTTAATATGAATTACAACAATTTTAAATACAATTTTAGTTATTAATTAATTAGATTATTTTGTAATATAATTGTAGGGCAAGTATCATTTGCTAATTACGTACCGTTTGATAACTACAGTTTTGTCTTTAAGCATGCAATTAATAACTATGCAATTAATAACAGATTTTTGAATGAAATGTCATCTGACAGTTTGCGCTTTATGTATTATGAAAAGACAAAAAATGTTATTATAAAAAAGAAAATATTATTGTACAATGTTATCGCGCAATGTGTTTGCAGAAATATCAATAAAAATAATCTTATATTCACATATGTAATCCTTATATCGATATTAATAAAAAGGGCGATAAGTCAGCTTTTGTTTTTAGGAGTTGCGTGTGCCGTTCCTGAGCGCGCCAACTTTAGACGATCTGATTAGTTAACTTTAAACACTTATAATTCAAAAACTATTATAGTCTCAACATTTTGGTATTGGAACTTTTGTCTTAAAATGATCTCAGGAATCTACCCTTAAGCGTTAGTCCGGTCATTACGGGACACCCTGTATATTAGCTAAAGATACTTGGTTTGACAATCATGTTGTAGTACAGAATTATATTATTTTTCATTGAATATAATATTTTTAATATTAAGCCATAACGATGAAAGAACTATAATATGTATAAATTTAATTTTAGTTGACACAACTTTATGACATTGTTCTTTTTAGGAAAAAAATATTTTTTAAAAGTGTAATATATCGCACTTTTTCGCTTCAACTTATTCTCTGTTTTTTAATATTTATAAATCTATGTTTGTAAAATCTGTTATTGTATTTTAGTTTGCAAAAAATAAAAGTTATTCTTAAATATAAAAAAAGCTAAGTAACCTTTTTTGATGTTTTGTGTAGAATCCCAGCAATTCATCATCAGAAGCATCAACATCCCTTCCGCTGTAAAAGTCGGTGATGTCGATTATGTGATTCTCGACTGCGACTATGCTTTGGAAAACACTTCAAGCCATGGGTTAGTAGTCAAGTGGTTCTTCAACGACAACCAAGTAGTTTATCAGTGGATCTACGGCAAAAAACCCTTAGCTGACGATCCGGCCGCGAAATACGTCGATTTAACGTACAAAGCTAGCAATGATCCTTTTACCGAATATCGAGCCATGAAGCTGGATAAACCAGGAATCGATCTAACGGGTAATTATACGTGTGTAATATCGACGTATGCGGACGAGCGGACGGCAAACGCTTCCATGGTGATTTATTGTAAGTATCTCTTTTTAATACATACACGCACGCACACGCACACACACACACACACACACACACACACATATATATATATATGCATATTATGTATTTATTTAATTTTTTATTTATTAAAGAAATTATTTATTTCTTAGTAAATAAAATAACATGTAAATTTTAGATTTTTTATAATAAGTATATATTATTCCATAAATACTATTACTAAGTACTAATATTAAAATTTATTATTAAAATTAATAAATTATACCAAATTATTATCACGATTAATATTATACTTAATTATTATCTAACTCCATTACTTTAATGCTGTTAAAGTTTCAGTTTAAAATGAAAATAAAATTAACAAACTTATGTTTTTGGTATTTTAATTATTTTAACATTATCGTACAAGATTATCGCTTTTGTAATCTTCTTGTCTATCGTAAACGTTGACCTCGTCGACGATTCTTCTCCATTCATCTCTGTCCTAAGCAGAAGCGTCCTCTGTTTTCTACGTCGTCTCCTTACATTCTCCATCAATCCACCTTAAATTCTCCTTCAACCCTTACAATTTTCTTCCACTTTGCCTAAATAATATTTTCTTGATTACTTTATTTTTGTTCACTTTTCAATTTTAATTTCAATTTATTTTAGTTTTATATGTTGTTATTAATTATTAATATTATTTTTATAATTTGTTATTATTATATTATTACAGTATAATTATATTTATTTTTAAATTTCATTCAATAAAAATGACAAAAGAATTGTCATTAAAATTATATAAATGTACACACACACAAATAATATGTTGATTAAAAAATACAATTATGATTTCATTTGTATCTAAACATTCTTAATTTACTATGTAACATAACATTTTTTAGTATTGTTTCACGGTTATACCAAAATACTACGCTTTTAAATTACACAAATTCTATCTTATACATAATAATTTATTTACGCGATAAAATGAAATATTATTATTTTAACACTCTCTTTAAGACAAACGCTTAAAGCTTCATTATTATCAAGTTGTGACTTCAAAAGTGAGAAAATACACAAAAAGAATTTTTCTGAAATATATTCAAATAGAAATATTTAAAAAAAAACACTTGCAATCGATAAACTTATTTATAAACTAAACCTATTTTTTTTGTTTTTGAGACAAATCTTATCATATTTATTTCTATTTATACATATATATATATATACATATATATATACATATATATATACATATATATATACATATATATATATATATATATATATAAACGAAATAACATAGCTTATTTCGTTTTTGATTATCTAATTCATTTTTAGATATATAATTATTTATTAATAAAACAAAAGAAAAATTTTCGGTTATATATTTTACAAATTAATTGTCGTTTTATTGAAAATATTTCTATTTAAATATATTTTAGAAAAATTCTTTTTGTGTATTTCTCACTTCTGACGTCACAATTTAAGACCAGTAATGACAAACAGTGAACAGGAACCTTAACGCTGTTCGTAACTAGTTATAATTTTGTCTCTTAAAACACATTATATTATTATAACATGTATTATTCATTTTTTTTTTACAACATCTTTCAAGTCTGTATTTTTTGTAATTTATGTTACATTAATTTATTACTAGGTGTTACAAAAACATAACTTGGAGAATAAATAGTATATTCACACTAAATTAAATAAAGTATATCAACATATATCAAAATAACATAAATATTATTAATAACAAAGATAGAAAAATATTATTTTTTTATTTTGGTGATATAGAATAACATTTGTTTACATTTTTATTTTTAAGGTATAAATAATTTTTTTACTTAAATCTTAAATATTTTAAAATTATATTTTATATCAAGATATTAAAAAGATATCAATTTATTAAACAGTTAAAAAGAAAATTATATTTAAAATATTTTAACATAATGAAATATTTCGTAAACTATTCATTTCTCAATCATTTTAATATTTTTCTATATAAAGTAATTATAATAATTGATTTATAAAAATTATTTATTATACAATTATTACTCAGTTTTCATCTAACTCTAGTTGTAAGTTTTCAATCAGTTTTCTAAAATATTTTTAAATATAAATATGAATGGAATTTATTTACTTCAATTTTACAAAATTAGCAAAGAAGGGACTTGGTTACAATCTAAATCCTTAACTCACACATCCGTCTATTCTTATCTCCTACACTAAATAAATATCTATACCTTAACATATCTTATAAATATAAATGTTGCATAAAATAAATATTAGACAATTTTTAAATTTAATATGTTGTTAAGTAGATACATATATACTTTTAATATATAATAATTTAATAATAATAATACATATTAAATCATTAATTATATTTTTTACAAAAAATTTAATTAACAGATCAATATTTCGACTTAGTATTTCAGAAAATATATATTTTTTGCTGCTTTTTGATATTAATATAATATCAGCAATAATAACATGTACTTTATTGCCTTTATTCGTATTCTTTTGTATCTATTACTCTTACTTGATATTTCAAAAATAAAAGTCAACCTCATAATAGGACATAGCAAAACCACCAAGAAAGCTCCGACGTTACGATAACGCAAGTATATCCATTGCTATTACGTTCTTATTTATTTTTATTGCCCTACGTGTGTGTCTTTTTCCACGAAATATCCGTCTAGTGATCTCATACTTCGAACTTTGAAAATACGCTTTCTCTACTTTTCAAGATAGAAAATAAAACAGTAGTATCCATAAAATATCAAGAAAAATATTTATTTTTAAAAAAGAACTACAAAAAACAAATTACGGAAATGTTAAATTACATATTTTATATAATAAGGAATACAGTCAAAGTTATGATAAAGTGATTTGATTTTTTTTTACAAAAAATCATTTTTTATCGTGTAATTTTTTAGCTACAGCTAAGATATTTTCTTAAAATAATAGTATCCTTTTTCTGTAAAAATTTCCTAAAATATGAGTCATGGAAATTACAACATCGACTAATTCATATTATTTAATATAAACATTAAAAACTTAACGAATTCCCCAAATTAAAAATACTTAAGTAAGTAAAACAGATGGGAATCAGCGTGGTTATTGGTACGCAACATTTAATTTACATGAAATTTACTTTATTCTAAAGTCAGACGTTTCGGCTATCTTTCTGAGCCATCTTTGGTGACGAATTATAAAATTACATTAAATTCTCGCTCTTAGTTAACACATGTTTTTCCACGTCTAGTGAGTGAGGAAGCAGTTATAGGTACCTCCAATAACCGTCCGTGCAGTTGAAGGGCTGCATGGTCTATAGCTGTATGTCCTCAAATTTAAATCGGTGTAAAAAAAGGAGAAAATTGATCTAAAAGAATTATGCTAAAGTTCACTCACCTCGAACGTAATAAAAGTAATAAAACACACACTTCGCATCTTGGCAACGATACAATTAATAAATAACGGCAATGAATAAATAATTAAAATTAACAATGTATAAAACTTGATCAAAATAAATAGTTAAAATTAACGATGTAAAAGTTGGTCACAATTTAAAATAAGAGAAAAGACAAAACTATCGTAGCGATTGTACTCGTCAAAGTCCGAGCGAATAATGCCCTATTATATATCGTGCTTTATCACCAGTGCCTGTAAGACAAAAATTGTTTTCGTCTCTTTATACACAATGGCTTGTAATCATGGTAACAGAGTATAAACGCAATCTAAGTATTCGGTGTCTGTTTGCAAGTTAATATTACTTTTTTGGCGTTTAATATTGATCATTTCTGATATTAATCATTTATTAAAATTTCTCCCTACATCCAGAATCTCCAAATTCTCCCAATTAAAATCATGACTGTGAATACGTCTATGGTTAGTTACGACCGAGTGGGAGTTGGTATTTTTATTGATATCATTTTTGTGTTCAGTAATTCTAGTCTTCGAAAATCTCTTTGTCTGACCTACGTAGCACGCATCACAGTTTTTACATGAAATTTTATAAACTACATTCTTTTTTAGGTAATGTCGTAACAGATCTTTATGTACCTTGATAATGCTTTGTAGTTTATTAATGCTATGAAAAGATAATCTCGCGTCTTTAACAATGTTCTTAAATTTTTCAGAAATATTTTTGACGTAGGGTATTGTATGTAGGATGTACCACTTAATTTTTTCTTTTTCATTAGTTGTATTAATAGTGTTATTCTGGTTAATTACTTTTTTATTTAATAACGTCCTAATTCTCGAAGTTGTTTCAAAAATAAATTTTAAAGGATAATCATTCTCCAATAAAATATTCACTGTGTATTTTAAGTTTTTTTGATGAAATTCTGGATGAGGAAGAGTAAAAGCTCTGTCGAACTAAACCCATGATCGTGCCTCTTTTTTAAGAGAGGGAGTACTGTAATTGAAAGTTTAGATATCTCCTCGAGAATATTGGTTTGTAGTACCAATCAAATTTAATTTTATGGTTATCATTAATTAAGGTCGTGTCTAAAAAGTTGATTGTATTGCCACCAATTTCCATGATAAGTTTCATTCTCGGATGCATCGAATTAAATTTCTCGAGGACATTATCTATGGCTGAGTGAAGGGTCGCAGTCACAATGTCATCGACATATCGAAAGTAGAATGTTACATAAAAGTCGAATTTCTTCAGCACCTCCTTCTCAGTGTCCCTCATAACTAAGTCTACAGCCGCTGGTGATGAATACTTAGATTGCGCTTATATTCTATTACCATGATTACAAGCCATTGTTTATAAAGATATAAAGAGACGAAAACAATTTTTGTCCTACAGGCACTGATGATAAAGCACGATATATAACAGGGCATTACTCGCTCGAACTTTGACGAGTCAGTCGCTACGATAGTTTTATCTTTTCTC